TTCTGGCGCTTGAATGTCAGGGGCTTGCCTGCTACAGCATGGCATCCCTCGGGTGAGCCTTCTCGAGGCTTCCTTGGTCTACAAGAAGTCATCGCTTGGAGGGGCTGATGAGCGGGCCCGGGAGTCCTTCGCCCCTGGAGTTGATGAAGACCTTTGTCCCATTGTGTCATGCCTGTTCTGTGACCCTACCGAGAAAATGACCGATAGGTCCTCACGCTCGATGAACAGGTAGACGGTGAAATATCTCCATACCTGTCAGGTTCTAGGTGCCTGACTGGTTCATGGGCTAGATCATGGCTTGTGGCTTAGGGCGCCGGTTGCTGCCTAGGCGCTCGCCCGGGTGTGTGCTAGTGGAGGTTAGGCTTGGGTTGTCGTCGCTTGGTAGCCCCAAGCCATGGTCGAGCCTCAAGCCTTGAGTGGTGGTACCAGGAGCACTTGGGCTCGCCCTGACCCCTTTCATAGGGTGCGCATGAGCGTACCCAATGGGTATAGCCACCGAGCCCCTGAGCAATCAGTGGTCATGCGCACCCAATGGGTATAGCCACCGAGCCCCTGAGCAATCAGTGGGATCGGTCAGGGGGGTCTGTCGGTCGACTTCCTCTTTCTGGGACTTAAGCTACCCCTATGTTAGACTCTCGTCAACTGGTATGGAGCAGAGTTGCTGAGGAAGAGCTTGAATCTATCAGGCTGACGAAATCTAAGCTTCCGAATTGTAAGGCCTAGTTGCTAGCAAAGGTAGGGGCGAGGACTAGATGTACCACTTTGTCTATAGTGAAGTAAAGGGCGCCAAAGGAGAGGCCCTAGCCTAGAGCAAGGTTGCCAACACCATCATTGCCAAAGAAGCCCATCTAATCTGTACAGAAGAATCTACACCCAAGACCTCCTACCTAGTGCACTAGTCACATCAATGTACTATCCACTGCAATGAATTTCTAGTGAAATGGCTAGTTTGGCTGAGGGCGTTAAACAAAATCATTGTGATTGTGCGATTATTAACTTCCAAAATTGATTCATAGCGATTAGTGTGAATGAGAGCAACAACTGGAATGTTTAGTATAATATGATTACACAAACTTCCAAAATAGTTTGTAAACGTATCAACCCACCTCACATCATGTGTGAATGGGAGCATCACCAGGGAAATCTTGGGGCTGTAGGATTTCACCAACTTTCCAAAATATTTTTAGCCATAGCATCAGCCCACCTCTATAAAGCGGCAAGGTCGATTGTTTTCTATCACAAAAACAAAAACAAAACCAAAAGTTCCCTCCTTGCTTTCTCCTCTCTAAAGCACCAAGCGATTGCTTGACCGTGGGTGGGACAATATGCCCGGACCACAGAAGATGTCTCCGCAAGAGAGAATTCATGCTCCACAGCGGGAGTATGTGCTACGTACTCCACGGCGGGCCGTGACCTCACGGTCAATCCATGGCAGGTTGCAAGTTTTAATTCAGTGGGAAGGCTTTCCTGATGAGAATGCTTCTTGGGTATATGTGGAGGAGCTTCGGCGACTTTACCCTTTATTCCGTCTCAGGTTTGGGATTGTGTATCATCGTCGTCGTCGTGGACCTGGTGCATGAAACAAGGCTGACAACAACAATCTACCGAATCATGAGATTCATATTATCTTAGATCATCATTTCCCTATTATCTGTTATTGTGTGTTTATCTTATACCTAGTCAACTTTTGTTAGCCCCCTCTATAACTGAGGCTGGGAATTGTTTGCTTTGTATTGTTTGGAATATATGCTTTTGTTTTCTCATGTGTCACCACATTTTTCTTGAAGCTACCATCAATGAGATCTAAAACGTTATAGGTGGAATTTTCTCAACGCTATCCGTAATGAAGTATAAGTGAGATTATAGGGAGGGTTGAAAGAGGTAGGGAGATTTTTAGTTTGAACGTTGAAAACTTTTGCGTGAAAAACTTGCAACCGTGAGTCTCTCCATCTACATTTTTTTTCAAAGTTTTCAACACTAAGCCTAGATGCATATATATATATATATATATATATATTTCGGTCTTTGACAAAATTAATCACTCATTCAAGCCATGATAAACAATGACTTTCTACCAAAAATAGTTGTACATGGATGAAAAATAGGAGTTTGAGTGGCAGTGCTACTAGAGGTAAAACGGCTAGTTTTACTATGGATTGTAGGATTCCAGTACCTTCCTAAATTGTTTTATTGTGGTTAGTGCAAATGAATGCAGCAACTTGAATGCTTGGTACAACGAGGTTTGAAGCATTGAACAACTTTGGGATTGCAGAATTTCACCAACAATTTGAATAGTTTATATCTATCATATGAGACAACTTGTATTATAAAAAATTCAAAAATTTCCTCCCTGTATGTTGATGGTCAGTATATGGTATAAATTCGACCATCAAGGTTCTTAGTAAAGTGAAGATTAAAGCTCTAGCGTCGCGCACTCAAGACACATGAAATTTATACTGGTTTGGGACGGAGCCCTACGTCTAGTCTCAGAGGGGTTCGAGTTCATGTTCCTCGGTTCAAGTGCTCAGAAGGCTTACAACGGTGGCGCTCGTAAGCGTGGGTTCAGGAGTGAGAGAACTCTAGGTAGAGAAAGCCCGATCCTAAGAATGAAGGCCCGACTCCCCTTATATAGTCTTGGGAGCCAGGTGACAATTGAGAGGGAAGGTTCTCCTGACCCGAGTGGTCGAGAGCCCGAGGGGAGGGGGAGCTTGGGGAGCTTGGTCGGTGGGCCCTCTGCGTCTTGTCCCTGCTTCTATTGCATGTCTAAGTATGGTCACGGGGTTCTTGTACCTCACGTCAAGGTATAGTGTGCCATGGTGGCACAGTGCGAGTCATGGCTGGTATGGCGCGCTACAATGGCACAGTGCGGGTCGTGGCCGTCAATCTCGCCGTCCTGTATAACATGGGTGCATAGTGCACGTCGTGGCCCTCATCCTTGTGCCTATTATCCCGAGGGGGGGGGGAGTGTCGTGGCGCCAGCGTGCGAACAGGGCAGTCGTCCTCTGCTGACCATCATTCTTCCCAGCCATGGTGGCATTGTTTGATGATGCAGTTGTGCTGTTAAACTCATAGACGATTTTAAAAGCATTCAATTTTATGATGATATATTATGTACTGAATCTCATCGAAAGATCTACATCAAAGCTGTATAGAATTTCATAATAGGATTAAGTCCATTTTTACCCCCTCAACTCTTATTTTTATCTAATTTTAACGCTCGACTATAAAACCATCTAACTTTGGCACCTTAACTACCAAAATTGTTTAATTTTGACCCAGAGCCATATGAAAACCACTCAAAACTGTCTCAGGATCGAAATTGAACGGTTTTGATAGTTGAGTTGCCAAAGTTAGACAAAAGCAAAGAGTTGAGGGGCGAAATGGGCTTAATCAAGTACTTTAGTTTTTTAAGATATATGAAATTTTTTGTACATTTAGATTTATTGATTGATGGAAGTGTTTGGCCATGAAAACTCAATATAAAGTTTTTGGGGTGGGCATACCACCTGGATGCGTCTCCTAATGGGCTCTAAGACGATACATGCCTAAGTAGACTAAAAGACGGTGGCACAACACCCTGACAGATTCTGGATGTGACTTGTTTTGCGATTGCCATTGACTCCGATGGAATTTTGATGTCAAACCAACGCCATCGGTTAATTTATGAAATTATCTTTCCATGCATAGGGGATCCTCAAAACAGAGTCTGCATGCATCTTGGGCGTCTGTTTTACTACTAGCTGCTCCTAGAGGCTAAGCCAAACTCGAACTTGAGTTGGACTGGTCTCCTGCTTAACTTGGACATCTTTGTTGGTCTCCTCAGCCTCCACAGCTCTCTCCAAGTACTTCGTGATCCTCTACAATGTTTCTAAGAATGATAACATTATTAGGTAGCAATTTATTCTTAAAAATGAAAAAGATAGCTTAAAAACGAGCTCACCTCTAGATTTAATTGTTGCATTCGAGCTCTAACCATTGATCCTTGCATAGCAATTGGAGGATTAGCGGGCACATCCTAAAGAGTGATATCCTCATCAGGATGACATTCAGTCCCACTGGACAGATGTCTAATCTCATCATTTAACAAAAAATAGAGATAGAATCATTCTACTGAAACACCGGAATGAATCTGTCTTGTCCCTCATTGTCCCCAAAACAAAGGCAAAAGTCTCCTGGCTTCAAGTTGTGCATGTCCCAAACAAAGATTGTTTGTCATTTTTTTTCAAGACTCAGTATAGACGCATAAGCTCATAAACATAAGCCCTTCTATCAACACACGCACACATAGTAACCAGCAGCATATGGCTCCCAGATGGACAGGAGGAGTCGTGCACAAACCATAAAGATAGCTTTAGAACCATGGTGATTCAATTAATTCTTAATCCAAAAGAAATAAGATAAAGAAACAAAAGGTAAATGGAAGTTCTAAATTACTAGATAAATCAATAAAAAGGAAAAGAGAAACAGGAGTGATAAATTAGCATATGAAACAATAAAAATGCGACATCTATGAGACTATGAACCACGAACACAGGAACCAGCAGCAAATGGCTGCCAACTGATCGTCGGAGTCTAGTACAAATCATAAAAGATGGCTTCAGAACGATGGTGATTCAATTAATTCACGAAATCCAAAAGAAATATGATAAAAACAAAAGGTAAATGGAAGTTCTGAATTAGCAGATGAAATAAATAAAAAGAAAAGGAAAGAAAAATGGGAGTGCTAAATTAGCATATGAAATAATAAAAAAAATGCGACGCCTGAGAGATTCGAACTCTCGCGGGGAAACCCCATGTACTTAGCAGGCACACGCCTTAACCACTCGGCCAAAGCGTCACTTGGTCATGATCACAATAAAATTTCAAACTTGAGTATTTCCCAACCATCTCCGAGTACAGAACCAGGTTGCACTGAGCCCCTGACATGGTGACGCCACACTCCCGGAAGGCCGAAACGGCGAAGCCCAACCAGGGCCACCAAGCACAACCGCGCTCCAACCATGGACGCCGGCGGCGCGCGTCCATCGGCACCGTCGGCCGCCGCTGCCGCAGTCGCGGGGGCCTCCGTCGCGGACGAGCCCCGGGACGCGCGGGTGGTGCGGGAGCTCCTGCGCTCGATGGGTCTCGGCGAGGGCGAGTACGAGCCCCCCGTCGTGCACCAGTTCCTGGACCTGGCCTCCCGATACGTCGGAGACGTGCTCGGGGACGCCCAGGTCTACGCCGACCACGCCGGGAAGGCTCAGATCGACGCCGACGACGTGCGCCTCGCCATCCAGGCCAAGGTCAATTTCTCCTTCTCCCAGCCGCCGCCGCGCGAGGTACCAATCCCACCCAAAATCCTACCTTTTTGTTGTTCAATTTCGGCAAATGAGTTGGCTTCTATAATTATTTTCTTATATCCCGCCAAAATCGTTGTTTTCTCCGTCGGCTGGTGTTACACGGTCGAATCCACCAACCCTAGTTATTGTGTTGCCCGTGTAGTTGAAACTTGATTTTGAATTAGTTTTGGTTTTGCTGGATTTGTTGGCCGAGAACTTGGGATTTCTTCCATTGTTTCTTTATAATACTCGTAAGAGTTTTTCTGGCATCTCTCTAGTCTTGAAGTAGTATCTATTCTATGTAGTCTCGAAATTATGTCTTTTAAATTTGTTAACTCGTCCCCGCTCAATTCCATTGAAAGAGAGAGGGAAATGTCGACTTACAGCATAGGTTCAGATCTGTTCAGAAAGAGGTTCAATCCTAAAAGCCACATAGATCGGAGACGATAACATCATAATCCAAAACATAACCGGTAAGAGACGATTCAGAATTCTAAACTACTAGTACAAAAATTCACGTGTTGTAATAAATTCTTCTACAAATGAGGTAATGAAGTTTCTAAAGCTGCATCTTCATCTATTCTAAAATGGTATTTGTCATCCCTGTGCTGCCTTGCAGAATATGGTGATCTTTTTACTTCCTACCACATCAAGAACAACAACAACAAAACCTTTAAGTCCCAAATAAGTTGGGATAGGCTAGAGTTGAAACCCAGTAGAGCAATCAAGGTCCAGGCACGTGAATAGCTGTTTTCCAAGCACTCCTATCTAAGGCTAAGTCTTTAGGTATATTCCATCCTTTCAAGTCTCCTTTTATTGCCTCTACCCAAATCAACTTCGGTCTTCCTCTGCCTCTCTTCACATTACTATCCTGACTTAGAATTCCACTACGCACCGGTGCCTCTGGAGGTCTCCGTTGGACATGTCCAAACCATCTCAACCGGTGTTGGACAAGCTTTTCTTCAATTGGTGCTACCCCTAATCTATCACGTATATCATCGTTCCGAACTCGATCCCTTCTTGTATGACCGCAAATCCAACGTAACATACGCATTTCCGCGACACTTATCTATTGAACATGCCGTCTTTTTGTAGGCCAACATTCTGCACCATACAACATAGCAGGTCTAATCGCCGTCTTATAAAATTTGCCTTTTAGCTTCTGTGGTACCCTTTTGTCACATAGGACACCAGATGCTTGGCGCCACTTCATCCATCCTGCTTTGATTCTATGGCTAACATCTTCAGCAATATCCCCGTCTCTCTATAGCATTGATCCTAAATATCGGAAGGTATCCTTCCTAGGCACTACTTGACCTTCCAAACTAATATCTTTCTCCTCCCGAGTAGTAGTGCCGAAGTCACATCTCATATACTCAGTTTTAGTTCTACTGAGTCTAAAACCTTTGGACTCCAAAGTCTCCCGCCATAACTCCAGTTTTTGATTCACTCATGTCCGGCTTTCATCAACTAGCACTACATCGTCCTCGAAAAGCATACACCAAGGGATGTCCCCTTGTATGTCCCTTGTGACCTCATTCATCACTAAGACAAACAGATAAGGGCTCAAAGCTGACCCTTGATGTAGTCCTATCCTAATCGGGAAGTCATGTCTATAACAATTTTAACTAGTAATAAAACTTTGGCCTTACACTAGGATCATAATGTCTAGGAACTACCTTTGTTTTTTTTTTTGGAAAGTTTAAAATCTCATTGCATCACCGACAAAGTACAGATATAGGGCGAAGATTGCCCTGTTCGAAATGTAACTGCCTTTCAAATAGGAAAATTACAGCTATTGCATCCCTTGCTACATAAGCTTTAAATGGTTCAGCTTAAGATGGATTTCCTATACCTAATAAATTTTGAAGGTACCCACGCAGTTGCATTTTGAAGTTATAGATGATTATATGTAGATGATGCCCTATTGATACTTGTAGGATTGAATTCTCTGTTGCATTAGGGTATTGTGTTTTGTTTTTATTTCATATTTCCCTCTGTTCTTAATCAAAGGTGAACTCTCTGTAGCATAACACTATGGTTGTTGCATTGCACCTTGATACAGGAAGACCATAATTTATAGCTAAATTTAAATCATCTATCTTTTAATGATTCCTTCACATTCTTAAACGCCATCAAAGACTAGTACTTGACAGAATACTAGAACTGCACTGGACTAATTTGCTTTCTCCTTTGGTTGCATTTGTACTTCTGCATTGTATTTGTTTCTTGTGTGTCAAAATCTTCATTGTATGCATCTACCTATGACAAGGCTATTGGTACTTTTTGTCCAGATTCTTTGATGAAAACACACTGACTCACCAATTCCTATTAGATCTGCTATAATATTTGATCTGTTGACAAGTTCATACGAAGTACGGACCGACCTTTGAGCAGAACCACATAATCAAGTGTTCTATCTGACCATTCAGTGGTAAAGTGGTGTTATGGATATGAAAAAAGTGTTTGGGTGCTTCTGACTACACCTAGCATTGAGTTTTAAGATGCATTTCTGGAAGATTACAATGTTCCAGCACAATTGATTTCTCCTTGCTTGTTATGAGGCATCAGCGGCATCACTAAGGATATTTGTTGCCTTATGATAGACATCCTTAATATGTTGATAAGAGGTTTCTTTAAATGTCGTATTACTAAATACAAGTAACATGATCTCAGTTGATCCCTTGGACTCTGCACAAAAAAATTATAATATGTACTTGCTCGCCCAGAAAATGATACATTGCTTACCTAAGGAAGCTTGGGAAGTACCAATTAACATTTGAAAAGAGTAAATTTATATGTTTCTTGCTTAGCTCATAATGAATAATCTTTCCAGTCACAAAGCACTGTTTCAAGATGTTTGTAGCCAACAATTTAAATTTTTGGCTGTATATTTAGATTTGGCTTGTGAAGCTTTGTTTCAAAAAACATTTTATTTTTTTATTATAATTTTCTGAGGTTATTTAATATAATACAACAGATAGTACTCTTTGCTTGTGTTTCATTAGTAGATCATATTGATCTCCAATATCACTTTTTCTTGTGATGGATTATACAGTGACAACTTGACCTTTTAGTGAACAATCTCTAAATTTGCTCTTTTTTTAATGGTGGATTGCAAGACTCTTTCTGTTAGATACAACTTTGACCTTTAGGGAATAGTCTCTATATTTGGAAGAGTTCTCGTCAGATGCAAAGAAAGAAAAGTAGAAAACATCAACCAACAGCTGAACCCAGCAACCAAAACCATCTTTTTGCCATCAAATTTGACCAACATGACTACAGAACTTTTATATTTTTATAAAGAACTTCTACTTGGACTAGAAAACCAAGTCATTGTTAGGCATCTTCAAATCATCCCACTAGAAAGAGTACGTTAGTTGATCTTCAGATTTTCCAAGTGGGCTACCACAATTCAGAAGTCATTCATTACCTCTTTGCCTTGAGATGAGAATCCCAATGCCACAGTATGTTAGTTGTTGAAGCGTGTTATGGTATTAAGTATGTGCGTTCACCTTGAAATAAGAAGATGTGATGCTGATAGATCATGCTTAGTCTACAGGGATCTCATATTGCCTTTTTATGTTCCTACTTCCTAGACTCCCTACTGCAAAGAAAGCCATTTATAAATATAGTTGTTGGATGTTGTCTTCTTAGCACAACTAAAAGTGTATGAGAGTTGTGGTGAAACACTGGAACTCATGTTTTGGTGTGTCTTCTCTGGTTATGGGCTACTTAACATTTTGAATCTAGGGGTTAGTAGGAAGCTCTTGTTATTTCATTGGATTCTTGAAAAGTTGATCCAATCTTCTCTGTAGAGAACGTGTGCATAGCAGTGTTTTAGGCTAACAAGTTATTTCCTCTTCTTGGTAGGTTCTCCTTGAGCTGGCCCGGAGCCGGACCAGAATACCTCTGCCCAAATCAATTGCTCCTCCTGGCTCAATTCCCCTCCCACCTGAGCAGGATACACTGTTGGCCCAGAACTACCAACTCCTACCTCCGTTGAAGCCGCCACCTCAATTTGAGGAAACAGAGGATGAGAATGAAGAATCCACAACCCAAGTCTGACGCCAAACCCAGCAAATTCTAATCCAACCTTCTCGCAGGATCAGAGAAATAACGAGCAACAGCACACTCCCCAGCATGGTCAGAGGGTTTCATTCCAACTCAATGCTGTGGCAGCTGCTGCTGCAAAGCGTCCTCGGATGACCATTGATCAGCTGAACATGGGCTAACCATTCATCGTCGTCGGTTAGACTAGTATCCTTTTCCACAACCACTAGTCTGGAGAATCATGTTTTGAAGAGATTAGTGGTGTATTGGTATGATCTTATTGACTACCACCCACCTATTTAACCACGAGATGTGCAGTACAGCAGCAGCATAAGTTTCTGCCTGCAAGCACGTTGCTTTAGGGAAGGAAAGCAACTGTGCTAGTAGTGTATTTTGTTCTTGCTCACTGCTACAATGGTATCTGGGTTTGCATGTTCTTAGTAAAATTAGCATTCATCTCAAGAGGGCAAATATTGCTTTATCAGTATTGCAAGTTACTTCCTCTGTTTTAAATTATAAGACGTTTTGGCTTTTCTAGATATATTGATTATGCTATGTATCTAAGTGCACGACAAAAACTATATATCGAGAAAAGCTGAAATGTCATATAATTTTTAGTATTAGTTATGATGGCACCAAATTGTGATTTTTATCCACAAGCAGGATTGAAACAATTAAAACATTGAACTAAAAAGAACATGAAAAACATAGTGCCGACTCTTCCACCCCTTCATAGCTTTTGTTCCCTATATCACCCTGGCGAGTGGCCGTGAGGTGAGGCATGGAGTCGATGCTGACGTCTACCCAACGTCCTCTACTGGACCGAGATTGAAAAAAAACACGTCCTCTACTAGACCTATCAAGAGCCTGTTAGATCCAGGCAGCTAATTGTTAGCTGCTAACTAAAAGAAACCACCTAATAATTACTTTTTACTGGCGGCTAATTGTTAGCTGCTAGCTAAAAGAAGCCAGCTAATTACTCCCTCCATTCCAAATTAGGCAGTAATTAGTTAGCTTCTTTTACTAGCAGCTACTGCTAGCTAAAAGAAGCCAGCTAATAACTACTTTTTACTAGCAGCTAATTGTTAGCTGCTAGCTAAAAGAAGCCAACTAATTACTATCTCTATTCCATACTATAAGTATAAGACATTTCTTATAATTTGGAATGGAGTACTTTTTACTAGCAGCTAATTGTTAGCTGCGCTTAAAGAAGCCAGCTAATTACCTTTTACTAGCGAGGCTATTAGCTGAAACTTGTTTGGATCCTCCAGCTAATAATTAGTAATAATTTATAATTATTAAGAGCTGGCTAATGATTTTTTATTAGTAGTACTTCGCAATTAAGAGCCAGCTAATATTTTTTATTAGCTAAATAGATCATTTTGAGCTATTAATTTGGTTATTGGCTGAGGTGTTTGCGTCCACTAGAGCTAATTTTACCAGCTAGTAACTATTAGCTCATAGGGTCTAAATATGACCCAAGTACTCCTACTAGACTACTTGAGTACTAGCACATCTACATTGCAATGGAAACTTCAGCTACTTTGCACCTGCAATCGAATATTGAGTTGCCCTCATCCTGAATTGATAAACGTGTTTTGATCAGGGAAACTCATGAAAATTTGACTCTTAAATTTTCTTATAATATGTTGTCATTTGCTAAAGAAAATATCATCGTAGAGGCACTTTGAATGCAAGTTTTACATCCTAGTCTTGCGTGTAATTTGAGTAATTTGAGTATGCATTAACATACCCTCTACTGATCAAGTTTTAAGTGGTATTAGAGTTTTTCCCAAAAAATATGAAATTGCAGTACAATGTTAAGTCAAACCATCTTAAGTTATGAAATAAATTTTCATAGTACACTTATTCAGAGTTATAAATGCTAATACTATTTTCTTTAAATTTTGATTAAATTTAAGATAATTTGACTTAAATCAAACCTAGAATTACATCTTTTGGGGACAGAGGTAGTATATGTTAAGTTGGCAGATTTTGTATATTCAAAACAAATCATATTTGATCTGATTGATGTTGAATCTCACTAGTCACTAGTTCTCTACACTCAGTGTTTTCATCTCCACGTATAACACGTGAGATTCCTGACTGTGGCACTGCAGTGAGATGTTTTATAAGGCGTGTTTGATATGGAGCATAGGGGTGGCTTGGCCCGTCAGCCAGCCCCAGGCTAGCCACGGCCTGGTCCAGAGCAGACACAAGGGCGTGTTTGATTTGTTGTAGTTGAGGAGACATGCCCAGGAGAGGCTATGTTTGATTTCTTCCAGCCAGCCCGGCCCAACACCAACTACCTCCAACTATCAGTTGGAGATGGTGTTTGATTTGGGTCCGGCTAGGCATAGACCAAATACCAGAATCAGCAGGGTAGAGAGAACAAGAGCAGATAACAGGTAGTTTCATAAGCATGCAAATTGATCAAACAAGAAGTTACAACAACAGCAATGTGAATTAATCATATTGGCCTCAGACTAAGTATTGTTGTCATGCATTAATTAATCATAGCTGCCTTCAGATAATTAAAAAACAATCTTACAGAGAGATCAACAGCACAAATATGAGTTCAGTACGTACAACACTTGTCCAAAAGCATAACCAGATAAGACATGGGTTCATTAGAGAAGAAAAACATGAAGGCAGGTAATCATGCTTAGGTTGTCATCATTGGCCTACACATTGCAATTACACGAAGGAGACTTGTTTAGCTTCTGCCAAAGAGCAAACAACATCACACAAAGAGCCAATATAAGCACATTCTTCCAACATCAGTCTTACCATCAACAGCAGGAATGCATTGACAACAGTCATCTGGGAGCAGCTGGGAGGGGAGGGGAGTTGCTGCTCCCAGAGATGCATTGAAATCTCTCACTGCCTCTTCATAATTCTTGTACTTCAAAAACCTAGCATTAGAGAACCCAAGAACTTGTTCATTGCACTCATGCTAGGTTTTGTAAATCCCAGGTTTCTTTCCAATGAAAACCACATAGCAAGGGACCATTTGCTGTGAAATCAAAAATTGAATTAGCCTCAGTCAATTGCAAAAGCAAGCCATGAGTGTGGCATTGAAGATCTTGGGATTGAGAGAAGAAACAACACATGATCCTAAATGCCACACTGATGAGGTGTTCATCTTGATCAACTCAAAATGTTGACATCACAGGCTAGATAAAATTGTGGCCTCAGCTATAGAATTTGGTGCTGCAATTCATGTATGTAGTCATCACAGGTGGCTGCACATGTACCAAATAACTCCAGAAAATCAGCAAGTTTGAGACTGCAAAGTAGGAACCCAACATCAAGGCTGCCATCAATTCTCTGCCATCAGCCTATTGGTGTTGCTAGAGAATGGATGCATGGTTCAGATAGATTTGATGACAGCCATGAAAACCAGCAACCAAATGCCATGAAAAACAAGAACAACATACAGTTGTGTAGCCACCTCATATATTTGTTCACAATTTGCATCATAGGCCATATCAGAACCCACATTAGGCACCAACTCATGGAAACACAACCAACAAATCCAAGAAATGACAGAAATAGATGAAAGCATGAAGTAAAGTTTGAAACAAGTGCAATCCCAAGACCATGAAGGCCATGAAATCCATGGGCACATCCATTCACTGCCATCAGCATGGTATGAGTATGCTGTTGCTTGGGAATGGATGTGTCCCACAGGTTCAATGGCACCCCATGAATAGCACAATGTAATACAGTCCTCTCAATGCAGCAAGAACATAAAGAACCATAGCAATATAAAGTGACAAAGAAACTATCAATAGTAGTAACTAACAGAGGTTACTAGTTAATGCATCAAGTTTGTCTCCAAATAAAAGTTTAGCCCACAACAAGTAGGCACAAATACCACTACCAAGTAACACTTGGTCAGATATAGTTAGCCACCCTCCTACCAAGCAAACCTAAAAGGACAGGTGCTGGTTAGCCATCTACCTGCATAGGAGCTACACCAAAATGGAACCCAAAAGAGAATAAAGTGGGTGAGGGAGTTGGAGGAACTATACATCTCAACTATCATCCCCCTCTATGCCTTGTTGTCCTACATGGATTGGCCTACATGTAGTAGTTCTTGGCTAGGTAGTTCCTCATCTAAATATCCCTATGGCTATCCACCATGTTCACAAAGCCCCTGCCTAAGGCCTTGTTGTCCAACATGTAAGTGTAGGCAACAATGAGAGCTTCTTCAGTGAAGCCCTACATCTCCATGACTGCAAGATAGAGGGCAGGATCCACATGTGCAGGCCTAGTCTCTCTAAGTGCATTTGCCACATTGTTGACAGCATCAGACATGTTAGTTATCATAAGCATCTCATCCTCACTGAAGTTTGCCCTTTTCCTCTTTGCCCCAACAGTGGAAGTGAGAAGGTCAGTTGCCTTGCTGCCCTCACCAACCTCAGTGTTATATTTGACATCAGTAGCACTAGTGAAGCCATGGCCCTCTATCTTAGCAGCCACACTGTTAGCTTGGTTCACCCCAAGTGGCTCACTAGACCCTAGGGCATACCTACCAGTGGCCATATCACTACTAAAAATGGTCTCTATCTCAGTGTAGAACCTGATAGGTGTGTTGAGGAACTCAGCATCCTTAGGGTGGTCCTGCAGTCAGTGTATTGGATTAAATAAACAAGGAAGAAGAGAAATAGTGACTACAAGTGTGCATGACTCAGTTTTTACCTTGCAATGGCCTAGGTAGTGCTCAGGTGAAAGGTCCTTGTTTGGTTTTGGTAATTGAGTGACAACCTAGGTGGACAAATTGAGTTTAATGTGAGACACAGGTAATTAGTCCACAGGTACATGTGTGTGAGCAACATATGCCATGGAGGTGAAAATGGTTCGGAAATGTTGCAAAGCTCATACATGTGATGAAGGAGCTCATTGCATACGAGACATGACATTGAGTCATGTGACTAAGGTGGAGAAGATCAAGACAAGACTTGGCTCGACGGACCAGTTGCAAGTGTGAAGGGCAAGTTTAGTGATGACTTGGCACCGATGGACCAAAGCAATAGAGAAGAGCAAGTGAAGTCAAGATCGATGAACCAATACGGTCATGTGATGATATGAAGTGGATCATATCATTTGTGATTGATTGGTGCATATGTTGCATCAACATTAGAGGAGATGGAATGGAATGCGCAAGGCAAAGGTATATTTGTAGGGCACTTCATTTCACCGGTCAAAGGTTGTGCAGAGAAGTTTATGACCGGGTTTAGGATAGATGACCGTACTATCAAGAGGGGCAAACTTGTTTGTATATCGGTTATCTAGTGCCACTCGAGTGATCTAACTTTGTATCGTTGCTAGGATCAAGTGACATGGTGAAAAGAGTGCTAACCCTTTGGAAAAATGTTTGTGAAAAGCCAACACCTTGTGCACGTGTGTTACTTGTTAGCAATCCAAATTAAATCAAGTACTTAGGTTCGCTAGCTTATGAATAAACTCATACACTACCACTAGATTCAACTAATCATTCAATCAATAGTGGTAGGCTATGAATTTTAAAATTTTATTTGTCTTGCATGATCCTATAAAGCATGTACTATATGCACTAACCGTATACTAGTAAGGGATGAAAATAATCATGCACATTACAATGATACCTTTGCTATGTTGGAGTAGAGGATAGTCACATAGATTCCAATTCATCACTCCAATAGCAATGTGAAGTCCAATTATTAGCATGGTGAAGACCAATCATCAATATAAAGTACATTCTTCACCCATATGAATTGAAACCACTAATGATCAAGTGCACTATCTTGTTGTGGTTGGCTTGCTTATTTTCTTGATCAATGCTTGCATGAGAGCATCAATGTAAAAATACTACTTGAAATATCATGACTAGCTTCCTTTTGGATGTTGCTTGTTTTTCTTAATCAACCATTTTGATTGCTTCAACTAAGCATCTCAAATGTTTCTCGGATCACCACTTCCATATTAGCCTTTCAAGTACCACACTTGGTTTACCTACACATAGACGGCAAGTCCCTACACTAGGGAGAAGTGACCTCTCTCCAAAGAACCATTCTAGATACTCACTTGAATTGACTTTGTTTGATTGATCCAAGTGATGGACTTAACTTGATGAGTAATCATGAAACCTTCTTTAAGTCCTTTTCTTTCCATTTGTTTAAGTCATTTTGTTTCTACCAAATGATTTCCAATTGTTATTAGAACTTAACCTTCATCTTCATCTTGAGCTTGGTCTTGATCTTCTATTTGAGTACTAAATGTGTGCCAAGTACAACATTAGCAAGATAACCCTTGTAAGAGATGTGAAGAAGCTTGTCATTGGTTCAAACCGGACTTGGAAGCTAAGGCAAATCAATTTAGTTCAAGTCATCTTAGAAGCTCATGATAAGTAACAAGAGTACAAGCATAAGACAACAATGCAAATGGATATCTAGTTTGGATTGTTTCAAGTGGCATCTAGACTCAAGTATTTCATCAAGAATTCACAAGTGGTGTCTAGATTAACTTACAAGTGATATCCTACAAGTGGTACTCATAAAGATAGCAAATGTTCAAGAAATGGTTTTTATTGACAAATCAATCATAAACGTGGTATCACATCTCTACACATGGTATCATTCATACAAGATGGTGGTTACACAAGTGATCCTCAACTTTAAGTGATCATCAAATGAAGAATGCTTTCCTCATCTAGAAAAGCTCAAGATTATCAAGTGAATGACCCATGCTTGGACATAGGGGGAGGAGCCCCACTACAATTGGTATCAAGGTCATAAGATCCTACACATAGTGTCTAAAGAGCTATACAAGTGGTGTCCATAAAAAATACAAGATTCTAGCCTCAACCATCTTTGCATCAATAAGATGCACACCTTTTATAGAAATTGATAACAAAGGGGAAGAGATTGTACAAAGATATGAAAGCTTTAAGAGAGTTTGAGACAAAAAAGTAGAGGTTGGACATGGACATGGATAAAGAGGAAGCAACATTGAGGAATTGAGAAGGATCAAAATTCTTGAACAAGAGAAGCACATAAATAGGGGGGCAAGCTCATGAACTTGTGTTTGATTGTATTTGATAAGTGCATATTCATGTGCTTGCTTGCATTACATAAGTTTTTAAATTTAATATGCATGATTGTGTGTTGCATGTTAGCTGTAGAATTTAATTGATGAAACGATAACTAGCATGCATAGGATGGTAGCTAGACTTGTTTTTCTACATGTGGTACTAGAACCTTGCTTATAATGTTGATCTCATAGGGTTTCTAGTATTTTTATTGTCTAGCTACTCATGACCTTATAAGTGCAACTCTGATTGGTATCACGCTTCAAAGGTTAATTCTTTACACCTTAGCATCATTGGTAGTAATTACTCTCCCACAATTCCAATCTATGCACATGTGCAAGCTTCAAACCAAACACTCTAACACATCTGTAGGGGGAGCTAATACTACCATTTTGGGTTTGTGGTACTTGTCTAAAATCTTTACACATGGTAAAATTTCTTTGGCAAGCAACATAAATCCAAAAGTGCTTAATTTCCATATCTTTGTAGAGTTGTCAGCAATTACCAAAAAAATAGAGATTGAAAGGTTCTTGTTTGGTTTTGGTAATTGAGTGGCAACCTAGGTGGACTAATTGTGTTTAATGTGAGACACACAGGTAATTAGTCCACAAGTACATGTGTGTGAGCAACATATGCCATGGAGGTGAAAATGGTCCGGAGATGTTGCAAAGCTCACACATGTGATGAAGGAGCTCATTGCATATGAGAAATGACATTGATTCATGTGACTAAGGTGGAGAAGATCAAGACAAGACTTGGCTCGACAGACCGGTTGCAAGTGTGAAGGGCAAGTTGAGTGATGACTAGGCACCGATGGACCGAAGTAACAGAGAAGAGCAAGTGAAGTCAAGATCGATGAACCAATACGGTCATGTGATGATATAAGTAATTTGCACTCTATAATTTGGCTTATGTAGCCTTGTTATTGAGCATTGCTAGTGAACTTAGGGGCTTTGTGCGCTTTGCATCACTAGTTGTGTAAGAGCTCCCCTGGTTGCTTAAAGTAATAGTTGCATAGGTTTATGTGACCTTGCAAGCTAGAATTGTTAGGTGAGCTCTAGCTAGCCCGGCATCTTTGTTGCCTATTTAGGATCTTTGTAAGGTGCTTGAAACTTAGATAGAGGGGTGTAGTCTTGGCTAGACCGATAGTTTTAATTCCGCATTTGTTTCGGTTAGTCGGTGCGTTTAATTTTTAGAAAGGACTATTCACCCCCTCTAGTCTGCTATCTCGACCCTACATCAGGTTCTAGCATTATGGCATTGGTCTCATGATCAAACAGTGCACCACTAAGGTCCTTCAACTTGCACACCCTAGCCCACTTCTGCCTCCACTTCCTCAAGTGATTGTACACTTGAGTAGGGCTGACAGCTTCACCACTATACTCCCTAAGAGCCTTTGCCACACAGTTGACATCCTTATCCTTGAAACACTTGTCAGTCCTACTGCCATCAGATACTATCTAGGACATCCTCCTAAGGGCAAACCCATATGTGTTATTATTCCACCTCATGGGGGGCCTAGCACTAGCAGCACCCCCTGGGCAGGCACTACCTTAGGTGCATCAGCCCCCACATCAACCACCTCAGGTGCAGCAACACCCCCAGCTAGCCCAGCACTAGCCACATCAGCCATGTCAGCAACTAGCACAAATCCAGCCATCCTAATAAGGTCACCGTCCATGACATCAAGCCAGGTATCAACAACAAATAGAAGATGAACAAGAGATATAAGATGAACAACAGATAGAAGAATTATAGCAGGTTAGTCTCAATCATGTCCATTAGTTATTACACATGAGCAGTACACCACATGAGTTCCATATCCAGGGTCTACAAGCTAAAATCATACATGAATGGAAAGCATGAATCAAATCCTAGCAGTACCCCTAGCAGCCCACATGGCATTGCAAATGCCATCCCTTCTATTAGACATGCCAGTTGAGTCCTAGGAAAATATATCTCCCGCAGGCTAGGTTTCATGTGCCTTAGGCTGGCTGCCTAGAAAGCTCTCCTCTTCTGGGACAACTTCATCAGTGTCAAACCCAAGCATCTAATTATGGAGAATGCAACAGGCCAGTACAAGCTTCACTTGTGTCTTGTATGTGTGGAATGGTTTGTTGTCTAGGATACAAAATCTGTTCTTGAGTGCACTAAAAGCTCTCTGCATTGTCACCCTAAGGGATGAGTACCTTAGGGTTAACAACTCCTTAGCATTGGTAGGATAATTGCGGCTCCCATATTCAGACATGTGGTACCTCACCCCCCCTATAGGGAGGGAGGAAACTAGTGCGGCAAGCATAGCCAGCATCTACAAGGTAAAACTTCCCTACAAGTGCACCAAAAGATATACTACAGTGAATGTGTGTGACTGTTTAAGGACAACAGTGCATGGACTAATGAATCAACACTGCATGGACTAATAAATTTAGTTACCTTCTGGTACAATGAACCCAGCATTTCTCTCAATTGCATCAGCTAGGATGAGGGCATCATGGGTTGATCCCTCCCATCCAGCAAGTACATTTGTGAACTTGAGGTCAAAGTCCACAATAGCCATCACATTTTATGTGGGGTTGTGCTTCCTACCCCTGAAAGCCTGCTACATGTGTCTAGGCACCCTTGCCAACACATGTGTGCCATCAATGGCACCAACACAGTCCTATAAATGTTTTAAATAGGGGATAAGTCCACAGATGAACAATTGGTTGAACCTAAGGCATATAAGCAAGTTTAATGAGTACCTGCATAAAAAGGGTACCATCTTTGGCTACCCATGATTTTGGGATGTGTGGCATTGCTTGGAGGTCTGATCATATCAGTCCTAAGCTCACCAACAGCATAAAGAACTTGGTGGAAGACTCTACTAACTGTCTTAATAGGCCTCCTAAAGGACTGGTGAACTACCCTGAACCTCTAGTTGTGACCAACCACATGGAGGAACATTGCAACCTGCTCCTCAACAGAACACCCACTAATTTCTAGAACAAGGCCTCTACCTCTAAAAAGATTGCATAGAGCAAAAAAAGGGAGCTCTGGTCATACGCAACATAGGCACTCATCATTAGCCTGTTATATATCATTTGGAGGGTTCCTAGCCTATGCTACTGGCCTAAAGACCTAGGACCATAAGGTACAGGCTCATGTTGGGCCCTAATTCTTCTAAGTCTAGTGACAAAAAAAGATAGCATCACCACAACGATGGCAGCTGCTTGCCTGGGCATCATCTCACGCTGTTCAGTTGGATCCATCTACATGCATTTAACATTCAAATGTATAACTCAGTTCTAGTAGATCCTGGCTGGCCTCAACATGAAAGTGTAAGCATTCACAGCAAGATAAAATAGCACGGCTGCATAAGAAAAAATGCCTCCTATGCATTGGACATATTCATCATTGGCCATATAAAACTACTAACAATTCAGCAAACACATGAAGCTGCTATAAAAACGCATTCTTAGCAACAAGACCAACATCATCGACCAAGATTAACATTCCACAGACACAAATCGAAACCAACAAGGGCAAGAGGAAACCTTGGAATCAAATCAATGGGGGATAGGGGTCGATTTCACCTCGGGGGAGTCGACGGTGAGTTGAAGTGGCGCTAGACGGAGAAGAAGAAGAGCTGGCGATGAAGAAGTAGCAGATCTAGTATGGGACGAAGTTGATCCACCCGAACCAACACTAGATGCACCACCACAACATGGAGAAGACTAAGGAGGAAGACGACCGCCTCCGTGGAGCCCGGCAGGAAACGCAGCAGCGTCGTGGCCAAGCGGATCCCAACCGGGGGAACGGAGATGAAGCCCGGAGAGGAAGAAGACCGCCGCGCCACACACCACCGCACCATCACCGTCGGTCACTCAACATGAACGCAGTAGGGAGAGATGGGGACGACAAAGCGAGAGGAAGGAGAAGGAGCCAGCGGGGGAGGGCGGTAGCTTATAAGGACGGCGGTTTTCACCGGGGAGGAGCGCGCGCGGAAGTTTCAGGGTTCCCACACGAGCCACTGCCTCCGCCCCGAAATTGCCCGTGTGAGGATGGAGCGAGCCAATCCCGGGAGAAACGAACCCTAGGGGCGTTTCCCTGGGTGCAGGAGAGAGGGGATTTTGCACACCGCGAGCTGGGCCAGAAGCTAAGCCAAGTGAATCAAACAAGCTCCTCTGCAGCTGGAGGACGTAGGGCCACCCCAAAGCCCAATATCAAACACGCCCATAATATATTGTATTAACTAACTATTGAGCTGCCAATTGATTCGATTCTCCCTGATCACACGAAGCAATGCAAGTACATGCTCTTGATTTGGGGTACGTGGTTACCTGCTTAGCACATTTGTTTACTCGGTGCGTATATGCATGTTGGTACACTGCTGGTACTTTGAAATTAGATCAAGCAAAGCACGCATGCATGGGGCAGAGAAATCAACAAAGGAATCGTATCGATCGATCTATACAAAAATGGCCACCGACAACTGCAGTAGCTTTCTTCTTCGAAAATAAGGAGGGAGGGGAAAAAAGGCTACACCTACACAGGTTTCGCCGTGGCTTCCCGTACACCGCCGGTGCCCAAAGTCTTGGCTTACCGTACACATGAGAGCAGAGCAACACACTTCCCTGCACCGGCGGCACGGCAAGGCGTGCTATGTTCCATGGTCCATGGACCATGTCCAAGGCGCATCTGCTAGCTCCTGGGACCTGGCCACCTGGGGTGCATCACCTGTCAATTCAATTTGATAGACGATAAATCATGTATATTCAATCATAAGTGTGGTGTACATGTATATACTATAGCTTCCATATCCAACCGACTCATAGAAGCATTGTTCGGTGGATAGAAAGCAAACGTCAATCAAGGCCAGACTTGCCAAAACAGTACACGCCAATCAATCAAGGGCTAAACACGTTGGTATGCAAGGATACAGTGCCATGCAAGGATTCATTTGTCTAACACCCCCCGCAGTCTCAATGTCGTCCTCAACCATGAACATTGAGACTGGATCGAAACTCGGTGAAGGCAGATGTCGATAGCCCCTTGGTGAAAATATCGGCGTACTGAGACGAAGTAGGAACATGGAGAACTCGAACAGCTCCAGCAGCAACCTTGTCCCGAACAAAATAAAGATCAATCTCAATATGTTTTGCGTTGATGCTGAACTAGGTTCGTCGACAAATAAGCAGCGCTCACATTGTCACAGTAGACGATAGAAGCCTAGTGGACAGGACAGTGAAGCTCAAGGAGAAGTTGGCGCAACCAGGTCACCTCGGCAACAGCATTAACAACCGCTCTGTATTCAGCCTCGGCACTGGAACGAGAGACCATCGGCTGACGCTTGGAAGACCAGGAAACCAAATTATCACCCAGGAAAACAACATACCCGGATGTGGAGCGCTGTGTATCAGGACAACCTGCCCAGTCAGCATCAGAATAAGCCATCATGGAGGACACAGTGGAGGAGTGCAGTTGTAAGCCAAAGTCCAGAGTACCACGGACATAGCGCAGGATCCGCTTTACCAAAGCGAGATGAGGCTCACGGGGGTCATGCATATAGAGGCATACTTGTTGAACGGCATATGCAATGTTAGGTCAGGTGAAAGTGAGATACTGCAGGGCGCCAGCAAGGGCACGATAATCGGTCACATCAGGCACAGAGGCACCATCACCGGAAACCTTGGCAGAAGTGTCAATAGGGGTAGAACAAGGCTTACAATCAGACATACCAGCTCGCTCCAGAATATTTAGCATATATTGCCGCTGAGAGAGAAACAGCCTGCCATCACGCCTGGTGACAGACACGCCTAGAAAGTGATGAAGAGGGCCCAGGTCCTTCATCGAGAACTCCTGAGTCAAGGCGACAATAATGCGTCGAAGAAGAGCATCGGACGAGGCGGTGAGGACAATGTCATCAACATATAGAAGTAAGTATGCCAAGTCGAAGCAATGATGGTAAATAAAGAGCGATGTGTCAAACCGAGCACCAACAAATCCAAGGGACAAGATGTGAGAGGCAAACCGACTGTACCAGGCACACGGTGCTTGCTTCAAACCATACAAGGACTTTCGAAGATGGCAGACGTGATCAACATGAGAGGGATCCACAAATCAGGACGGCTACTCACAGTATACTTTCTCCTACAGAGTGCCATGAAGGAAGCCATTCTTCACATCTAGCTGATGAATAGGCCATTGATGGGACAAAGCAACACTGAGGACAGTGCGAACAGTGGCAGGCTTAACAACCGGACTGAAAGTCTCATCATAGTCAACACCAGGACGTTGAGTGAAGCCATGAACCACCCAACGAGCTTTGTATCGGTCAAGAGACCCATTAGAAGCAAACTTATGACAATATACCCACTTGCCAGTGACCACATTAGCCCCAGTCGGACGAGGCACAAGATCCCAAGTATGATTCTGCTGTAGGGCAGTAAACTCCTCAATCATCGCTGCACGCCAATTAGGATCGGCAAGAGCACCACGGTACGTCTTGGGAATGGGAGACAAAGATGTGGCCTGAAGGTTGAGCCGTTGCACTAGAAGGCGAAAACCCCGCTTGCCTCTGGTGGCCATAACATGGTCATTGATGGGTGGCGACACAGGAACCACCCGCGATGGTGGTGAAGATGCCAGTGTCCCGTTGGCAATGGCCGATGGTGAAGAACCATTCGGGGCAGCAGGAGTGGA